CCCCAAAACCCCAAAACCCCAAAACCCCAAAACCCCAAAACCCCGTAAGACCAAATATGAAGATGTAATTGTAAATTAAACAATAATAAATAATAATGAATAATTTCAGAAGAGGATTCAGCAAAGGGTTCTCATCCTTCGGGAAGCAATTGTATTTCAACTGATATTTCATGGTATTTATAGTAAAAGCTAGCAAAGTAACTTCGGACAGAAGAGCGGTTTCCAAAGATTCTAGCCTGCCTTTACTTTCAGTAGTTTTAACATTAATGCTCAGATGTTAGTGCTTTCGATTGTGATTATCGTTATAAATAGGAGAATGATTTAACTATAAATTGCTAGACAAAGTGCTCTCTCAGCTTTGACAGTCAGTTCAAGAATGAACCACCTTCTTACTAATGATGAAGCTGAGTGTGGAGCTGTTACCTCTGACGAGCTTGGTAAGTTAGATAGGATTTAATTGAATGTGTAGATGCTGAAGACGATGATGGGTAAGTTATCATTTAAATAATAATTTTAATGCCACAAACAGAGGTCCTGTGGCGGCACTTATTTAATTATATTCTTCTTCAATCCTTAAAAGAACGACGGTCATAGATCTCCTCTTAATAACTAGAAATATAGTTGCTGACGCACGAAGACCTCTAATCTCAAACTCTTCCTGAAAAATTCTAATCACATATAGATCAAGTGTATTGGCAAGAATTGACAGCGGAGCATGAGTTGATACTTGCAATCAAGCAGATTAATGAAGGGGAGAGAGAATTAAGAAACTTTTATGATTAAGGAGGGCGATTAAAGGAACACAATTAGATGATTAATTTGTAATTTGCTTAACTTAAATACTTCACTTGAGCCATCTATTGAAATATGTGCTCATAAATTGCAGTTTCATCATGGCTTTTCCCATAATATTGTCAGTCTATTATTATTCTGTTTAGCATAAATTCTTCTAAACTAAAGTCTCCTCGTTTCTATAATTCAACAATGCCCCATATCTCGCTTCAAAGTTATTGATGCCTTGGTGAGCGCACAGTGGGCTGCACAAATGAGTATTCACTGTAGAAAAGCCTTATCTTCTCTTGTGTCTTGGGTTTGTTTAGCATCTATCAAATTATTAGGCTAACAGACTCTTACCTTAAGTATAATGTCTTTCCCCTTCTCACAAAGTAGCAGTCTTTGCAAATTAATTTTACCGAAGTACAAACTTTCATTATTAATAATTATATAATCTTAAATCAATCAAAATAAACTAAACGATTATATATTTAAAATTGAAATGAATTCTTAATCTGCAAATTTTGACTCCTAGGATAACTCAAACAATCATTTTGAAAGTGATGAAGACTGGTACTATGAAAACCTGCCGTAATTCTATCAAGGAAAGCTTAGCATAATTATTGAAGAGAACAGTTTTCAAGTGACGAATATTAAAAATAACAAAGGCGGGAAATAAATTCCACTTGAAGATTAAACTGTACTTGAGAATATTTAAAATAATGATGCCATCATGCTCCTTACAAATTCCTAGACTTATAATAACGACTCATAACCAAATTAATCTAAGAAAAGAAAGTAAGATTTGCTAAGTAATTCATTTTTATAGATTTGATTAGGTGCAAGGATGCTAAAAAGTTTCTAAGAAAAGAAAACTCAATAATGACTTAAAAAGTGCTTAAAATGACTTTATACCTTTATTAGAGTTGCATTATAAAACTGCTCCCTTTCCCAAAATGAATTAAGAGGAGAGATAACTATTCAAAGCAAGACAAGAGGTGATGAAGTTTAAAGAAGAATATAGCAAGTGGCAGAGTTTTTATGAGAGAAAGGTTAAGAAAAGGTTCTTCTATAAAACTGATAAAGAAATTAGCAATGACAGCTCACTGAAATTTAAAATAAAGAGGAGGCCAAGAACTCCTACGAAAATCAAGCCATTTTTCTTTCAGCTTGATATGAGAATGAGTTTTAGGCCACAGTCATGCATGCCAATGAATGAAGAACATAGACCAATAATCAAAGTCATAAGAAAAAAGCGACGATCAAATTCAATCAGCTAATAAAAATCAAAAGATCTGATATAAAAGTAAATTCATCAGGAGAACATCTAGGCTCAAAATCATAAGTCAAGAAAGTCCTAGTCAGTAGGTCCTCATGATAGAACTTCCAATTTCTTCGAATTTGACTCTGCAGAGAATGACTTTGATTTTCATACCTAGAAGAAGTCATTAAGGGATAAATCAGAGCAAAGTACGCTCTTCAAAGCTAGGAAGATGCCAGATTTCGGAAACTTACCTTCATTTATACCGCTACTTAATGACAGACCTCTGACTTTTCCTCAGGAATTCAATTTTAAAGTCGAGTAAAGACTTTCAAAGAAGAAATAAGATGCAAATATGTAATATTAGATGGAAACAAACTAATATGAAAACGATAGAAATAAAGAGAATATTCATCCTTGGATTCCAAAACTAACCATACCAAAATCACCCTTGCTACATACAAAAAGGAGAGCATAGATGAGGCCTATGTGATCAAGCAATATCAAGTATAAGTGATATTAATTAAACTATTATTGATAATGTTAATTAAGTAGTTTTATTTCATAACTCTATCTTGCATTCTTTTAAAGCATTCTTGATCCAAACTGGAATACCATTTTTGTCGTCTCTGTAGTAGTTAATGAAGAAATCTCTGGCATATTATTCTGCAGTATCATTTAAAACTGAGTTTCTTAGTCCTCTAAGCATATGTATAAGGTAGCTATATAAATATCATCGGAACATATATTTCTTACTGAACATTATGAAGAGAAATCAAATGTAAACAGCTTTAATCTGCTCTGAAAGTCTTCTGCAAATATGAACGAGTGTAGTTCTGGCAAGTATAGCACTAGCATTCTTCACTGATTGGGCCAAAGTCATCAGCATATTCATTTTTTCTTAGCTTAATCATTCCATATTTACTGAAAGCAGAACCGAACCTAGCAGTCCTAGTTGCAAATACACAATCAAACATGTCTGCGCCTAGAAGAGAGCACACCATTAGATCTTCAGCATAACCTATACCCATAACATATCTCGGTTTGTCATCTGGCAAAAGGTCGGTGCATACTTTAACAGTTCTCCAAAAGTCTTCCTTATCTTCTCCTCCGGCAAGACCCCCAATAGCATAACCTGGCAAGTTTCTCTTAGTCATCATTTCACAGCATATTTTTCTCAATTCATCATCTACTCCTCCTTATATAATTCCAAATAAGTTTTATCTATCAGGGTTTTTATGGGCTTAGATGCATCTGTCTAGCCATCTTACAGATCTTTCCATTGCCTCCATAACTCTTGGACCTGATGTAGTTGGTGTGACTACATCATCTAAAGCCATCATGATATCTGAACCGATTTTATTTTGAATCTCCATGGATCTTTCAGGTGTAAGTAAAAACTCTTTGCCATCTATATGCGATTTGAAGCTGACACCGTTTTCATCTAGAGAATTCAATTCACCTAATGAAACAATTTAGAAACCACCACTGTCAGTAAGAATATTTCTATTCCAGCCCATAAACTTATGAAGTCCACCCATCTGCTCCATAATATCCTCGCCTGGCTTCAAGAATAAGTGATAGGTATTGGATAACATGATGTCACAGTCAATCAATTCAGCCATATTCTCTGATAAGAGACCTTTCATTGCACCTTTTGTACCGACTGGCATATATACTGGAGTCCTAACATCCCCATGTGGAAGAGTAACCACAGCAGCTCTACATCTATTGAACCTTTTAAGTACTTTGAACATCAAAGGTGGTTGCTGATTATTTTATGATTCTATTTATTAATTGCCCGATTCCATTACTTTTTATTGCAAACTAGCTATAATCAATAATTATATTTACCTCAGCCAATAGCATTTCCCTTTTGGGGTTTTGGGGTTTTGGGG